AGCTTCAGCAGCTGGCCAGGGAGTTTTTGGATATGAGGCAGACGACTGAGACTGTGGCGGAGATCACCGCCAAGTTCCGGGAGAGGGCCTTGTTGGTGCCCCAATATGCAGGTGACGAGTATATGAGGAGGACCCGTTATCATGATATGCTTCGAGCTGATATGCGGGAGCATGTTAGCTTTTCAGCTTGCCCTACCCTGGAGTCCATGATCGCCAGGGCGACGGAAAGGGAGATTGATTTAGAGCACATTCGGAAGAGGAAAGCAGAGGCGGGTCAGGTGATTGGGACATCAGGGAAGAAGTCCCGGGGATCAGATGAGAGGCTGAAAGTCCAAGGGGGACCGGGCCGGTGCGGGAAATGCGGCAAGACACATGAGGGAGCATGTCGGTGGGGATCAGAAGGCTGCTACAAGTGCGGCAAGGCAGGGCATTTTAGCAAGGATTGTACTACTCCTGTTTCGGCGATACGGACATCTGAGTTGTTGTGTTTCCACTGCAACCAGAGGGGCCACAAGAAGGCCAATTGCCCCGACTTGACAGGTTCAGCGCTGGTAAAGGCGCCAGCTCCAGCGACCCTGCGGATCACAGATGGCCGACAGGGCAAGGCAGAGGCTCCAGTGGTGAGGAGCCGAGCATTCCAACTGACCACCGAGGAGGCACGCGTAGCACCCGATGTGGTGACGGGTATGATTCTTTTCCTTCTCGTTTATTTATATGATGTTATGATATTGAGATGTGCCCGGTATATGTATATGTGTTAGGATCGTTCCATGTGAATGGTATCCCAATCCAAGTGTTGTTCGACTCGGGTGCATCCCCATCGTTTTTGTCCCTTACGCTTAGCAAGAAGTTTCCTGAGTCTTCGGGCATGCTGGATTGCCCTTTGGAAGTAGAGATTGCTGATGATCGATCGGTGCGAGCATCAATGGTATTTCGGGGCTGCGTATTGCGTTTGTTCGAGGAGCGCTACTTGGTGGATTTGGTTCCCATTCCGTTGCATGGGAACAAGGTGATAGATTGCGCACAGCAGCTAGTGCGAGTCAGGACCCCAGGTGGGGGAGAGTTAGTGATTCATGGCGAGAGGCCACAACGCGGGCCCACTGTATGTTCAGCAGCGAAGGCTAGACGTTACCTTCAGCAGGGATGTGCAGGATACATTGCGTACATGATGAATACCCGGCAAGCGGGTAATTCGACTGTGAGCAAGGTTCCGGTGGTGCGATATTTCGCAGATGTTTTCCCAGAAGAGCTTCCTGGGATACCTCCTGAGCGACAGGTGGAGTTCAGGATTGACCTCGTTCCTGGTGCGGCCCCGATAGCCAAGACACCATATCAGCTGGCTCCTCCTAAGATGCAGGAGTTGTCTACGCAGCTGCAGGAGCTGCTAGACAAGGGATTCATTAGGCCGAGCAGTTCACCCTGGGGAGCCCCGATTCTGTTTGTGAAAAAGAAGGACGGGTCGCACCGGATGTGTATAGATTATCGGGAGTTGAATAAGGTAACGGTGAAAAACCGTTACCCACTCCCGAGGATTGATGGCCTTTTTAACCAGCTTCAGGGAGCATCTTGGTTCTCCAAGATTGATTTGTGTTCGGGATATCACCAGATGAGGGTCAGGGAGGAGGATACGTAGAAGACCGCGTTTCGGACGCGCTATGGCCACTATGAGTTTGTAGTGATGCCGTTTGGGCTCACCAATGCTCCTGCCGTATTCATGGACCTCATGAACCGCGTATGCAGACCGATGTTGGATTGGTCTGTGATAGTCTTTATCGATGACATCTTGGTTTATTCCAAGATATAGGAGGAGCATGAGGAGCATCTGAGAGAGGTTTTGGAGACCCTGAGGAGGGAGAGCTTGTATGCCAAGCTCTCCAAGTGTGAGTTTTGGTTGCGCGAGGTGCAATTTCTCGGACACCTTGTCTACCAGAACGAGATGCTGGTCGATCCAGCCAAGGTTGAGGTCGTGATGAGATGGGAGGTTCCGAAGTCTCCATCTGAGATTAGGAGTTTCCTAGGATTGGCGGGCTATTATCGGAGGTTCATTCAGGATTTCTCCAAGATATATGTACCCCTGACGCGGTTGACGAAGAAAGTCGTGGTCTTTCGGTGGGGACCCAAACAGCAGGCAGCATTTGAGACACTGAGACAGAGATTGTGCGAGGCGCCAATCTTAGCCCTGCCAGTGGGCGTAGAGGATTTTGTGATCTATTGTGACGCGTCTATTTTAGGGTTGGGAGCAATGTTGATGCAGAGGGGGCATGTCATTGCCTACGCTTCGAGGCAGATCAAGCCTCACGAGGAGAACTACCCGACGCATGATTTGGAGTTGGGGGCAGTGGTTTTCGCCCTCAAGATTTGGCGGCATTACCTCTATGGGGTTCGATGTACCATTTACACGGACTACAAGAGTTTGAGGTACCTCATGGATCAGCCGAATCTAAACATGAGGCAGTGTCGATGGTTGGACGTGGTGAAGGATTATGATTGTGAGATCCTTTACCACCCGGGAAAGGCCAACGTGGTGGCCGATGCGCTTAGCCGCAAGGCGGAGCTGATCAGGGTTATGTACATGAGGATGACTGTGGTGACTCCCCTGTTGGAGTAGATCTGGGAGGCTCAACAGGAGGCTATCAAGGAGGAACATCGGAAGAGCGAGCGTGTGGTGGGTCAGGTTTCCTCCTTCGATTATGATAGTCGAGGACTATTGACACTACACCGCAGGGTGTGGGTGCCGTATCACGGAGGCGTGCGTCAGATCTTGATGGAGGAGGCGCACAAGTCCCGATTCTCTATTCATCCCGGGGCGAAGAAGATGTATAGGGATCTTCGTCTAGACTATTGGTGGCCCTGCATGAAGCAGGATGTGGCATGGTACGTCGAGCGGTGCTTGAACTGTAGGAAGGTCATGGCCGAACATCAGAGACCGCATGGGAGGATGCAGCCGTTGGACATCCTGTTGTGGAAATGGGAAGACATCACGATGGATTTTATCACAAAAGTTCCCAGGACTGCGTGCGGAGTAGATTCGATTTGGGTCATCGTGGATCGATTGACCAAGATCGCCCATTTTATTCCGATCCAGGAGAGCATCTCGGCCGAGAAGTTGGCCGATATCTACATCAGGGAGATAGTATCGCGGCACGGGGTGCCAGTATCAGTGATATCAGACCGAGATGTGCGATTCACTTCCAAATTTTGGAAGAAGTTTCATGACGAGTTGGGCACTCGTTTGCATTTTAGCACCGCCTTTCACCCGCAGACGGATGGTCAGAGCGAGCGGACCATCCAGACTTTGGAGGATATGTTGCGGGCATGTGTGTTTTGATTTCGGTGGTAGCTGGGATACCTATCTTCCCTTGGCTGAGTTCTCATACAACAATAGCTACCACGCGAGTATTGACCGTCCCCCCATTCGAGATGTTGTACGGGTGGAGGTGCAGAACCCCGATATGCTGGGGTGAAGTTGGCCAGAGGGTCATGGGGAGCACCGAGGTGGTGCTCGAGACGACCGAGAGGATCCAGCAGGTTCGGAGCAGGCTTCAGACTGCTCAGAGTCGGCAGAAAAGTTACGCCGACAAGCATTAATCCGACTAGGAGTTCCAAGTCGGGGATATGGTTCTCCTGAAGGTATCGCCTTGGAAAGGCGTCATTCGATTTAGGAAGCAGGGCAAATTGGGCCCGAGATTTATCGGACCGTTCAGGGTTGTAGCCCGGGTGGGCAAGGTGGCGTATAGATTGGATTTGCCAGTCAAGCAAAGCCAAATCCACAACACTTTCCATATCTCTCAGCTGCGGAAGTGTTTAGTGGATGATTCAATAGTGGTGCCGTTGGAGGATATTCAGGTTGACGACAGCCTGAATTACATTGAGCGCCCAGTC